TTACGAAAAATCATTTTGTCAGCACTTAAGGATTGGTCCTCGATCATTGACAATTCGTCGATGAAGGAAATCACGTGGAAATATACTAATCGGGGCTTATTTGTGTATCGCTTTCAATTGAGCTTAGGTTTTTTATGCATTGTAACAATGATTATGGATGCCTTACCATCATCAAAAACTATTCAACAGAACAATGAAACATTCAACGAAGAAGATTTCAGACAGATTCCATTGAGGACCATATGTCTTTTTGGCAACATGTCTATTTCTACTTATTGGACAGTCTTCATTTTTCAGAGTGTCCAGTTATTCAATTCGGTAATTGTCAATATAGGAAATGACGTATTTTTTTTTGGAATTGCTATGCACATTTGTGGCCAATTAGATTCGTTGAATATTCTTTCTGACGAGCTCGAAACGAACAACGAAAAGAATCGGCTTAGGAAAATCAAAAAATTTGTTCGTAGACACATACATCTGTTGGAAATGGGTCAATTGATTCAAAACACTTATACTAATATTCTTTTGGTCAATTTAATAACTGGCGGATCGCATATCTGTTTGGCAGGTACTTGATTTTTTTCCTCATAAATACCATACTATTTTGTGTTAATCATATTTACATATTTTCAGGAATACAATTTCTTTTTCTATCCAATACAATCGACGTAGTTCTTCTGACGAAAGTCGGTTCCGTTCTAATCATCATCTTGCTACAAATTTTTCTCTACAGTTATGCAGGTGATTACATGTCATCATTATTCCAAGATGTTTGCAAAGTTATTTATAATTGTACCTGGTACGAATTCTCTCCTAGTCACGTACGTGATCTTATGTTTATTATTATGAGAACCCATGTACCATTTAATATTAGTGCGGGTAATTTTTATATCATGAACATTGAAAGTTTCAAGAACATCGTCAAAACGTGCTTTTCTTTCTTTTCCGTTTTACGAATTGTATTCGAAGAATAATACAATGGATCTTGTTTAAATGCAGACAAATAATGATATTGATTCTTCTCATATTTTGACTATCATTTACCAATTGTAATTTGAGATGGTTTGACATTTTCGTTCCATCAGATTTATTTTTTATAAAATAAACTTTGTTTATTTACATATGTAGCATTTTAAAGTCTATGATTTCTATCAAAGGTAATTGGTATATTTGTCTTGTTTAACATTTGTATTAGTAACAATAAAAAAAAATCCAAAAAACCATATGAGCACAATTGTAATATGTATCAAAAAGAAGAATTATAATTCCTTACCGTAAATATATAATACTCGACAAGAGTACAAAGAAAATGTTTGCAAAGATAGCAGAAAGGTACTTGTTTAATGCCAACATACGTAAACGCGAATGGCATAAGAAATATAACTATAAGACGCTATAATTCAGTTTATGTGGAATACATGGTCAGAAAAATATAACCTAAGCTGCAATAAAATAATGCGATATTGTCTATAATGTTAGTATTCTTTAGTAATATGCCACGTATGTTCACTTTCCCATAATCATGCTCATCCCTAATAATTTGGTTTAGATCATGTGCGAATAATACATGCGATAGATTTTCTCCATATATCCGAAGATGTATTTTGATAATAATTTTCTTTCCACCTACTAGTCTTTCCTCCGTTTTCCTTTTTTTTTCTTATTCTTTCGTATCGGAGTGCTGAAACGTTGTTTCGTCGCGCGAGTAAACCCGAACAAAATGGCGATCGACGATGTAGTCTGGAATGCTGATTCCGTCAATGCACTGTGGATTTACAAATACATAACTTGGACAACCGGTACGTGGCCTTTACAAACGGAAGGAATATTTGCGACTATTCGGTTCTGTGCCACATTTCTTTTAGGGGTACTGCAATAATTTGATTTACTAAAAGTATAAAATATATAAATATATATTAGTATAAGAAACGTTAAGACGTTTTAAATATTACGAATCATCATTTGATTAGTAGTTCAGTACTTGACTGTTATTGTCTATCACAGTTTGGTACACTAATTTCCATTCTTATGGAAATTCGACTGAGTTGCGGTAGTACCGACGAAACCCTGGATTTTTTTGGAATCTCCTTAGCTACGGTCGCAGGTCTGACTAAATTAATCTTCATCAAATTGCATCGTGATGATCTAAGAAAGATCCTTTTGTCAACGCTTAACAATTGGTCAGCTTTAGTTGAGAATTCTTCGGCAAAAAAGGTCATGTTAAAATATAGTCAACGTGGAAAATCCGTGGCACGTATACAGATGAGTTTTGCTTTTGTCATCATCATAACTATCATCCTGGATGCCATACCGAAGTCGGAGTCCTTTTTTCAATGGGATAATATAACCAACACAAACATGAACGAAAGTTTACCTAAAAGAATACCACTTCGAACTATGTGCGTTTTTGGTGATATGTCAACGTCTACTTATTGGACAGTCTTCGTTTTACAGGCAATTCAATTAGTCAACGCTGTACTCCTTGAAAGTGGAAATGACGTTTTCTTCTTCGGTATTTCTATGCAGATTTGTGGCCAATTGGGTACTTTACAAATATTCTTTGAAAAATTTCGAGCTCAACAAGAGGAGGATCGTGTTAAGGAAATCGAACTATTCGTTGACAAACATTCGCATCTGTTGGATATAACTCAACGAATCGAGGATAGTTTTCATTACGTTCTTCTAGTAATTCTAATGACCAATGGATTACACATCTGTTCAACAGGTAAATAGATTATCTATGTTTTAAATAGATTTTTTTCTTCTTATATGTACTCTTTTTTTAATCTTCAGGTATACAAATATTGATGCTGTCCAAACAAAACGACATAGTTCCACTGATCAAAGCTGTCATAGCGTTCGTCGTCATATTGGCACAACTTTTTTTATACAGTTACGCGGGTGATTTTCTCTCATCATTGACACAAGATATTCGTCGAGTTATTTACGATTTTCCTTGGTACGAATTTTCCTCGAACAATGCTAAAAATATTTTATTTATAATCATGAGAGCACAAAAACCATTTCGTTTGAGAGCCGGCAAATTTTACCCAATTGATTTGGAAAGTTTTAAGAACATTTTAAAGGCATCTTTTTCATATTTTTCCGTTTTACGAATCGCATTTGAAGAATGATCTTGTATAATGGGTATTATTTATTAATAGCAAATTGTTACTAGATAATTAATCGTCGCATTGGTACGACCCTTACTTATACAAATCGCTAGTAACAAAAGAATTAACAGCGATTACTTTATTTAAATATTGTTACTACTTTTATAACATAGATTTAAGCAAATGCAGGAAGAATAATAAGAAAAAAAAAACCTACATAACATATCGAGTGAAGGGACATATATATAGTAAATAAAAGATTAATTAAATAAAACACACTAATTTTTCAATATCTATTTAAAACATTTTTTAACAATATAGTTCGTTCGATTTAAAATAAGTTATTACTTTTTCAACACAATATTCAAATATTGTTATCAATAATTATAATATATGTTTTATACGATAAAACAAACCTCGTTGTTTAAAGTCGACCATTTGTTTCCATTATATATTTCCAATTTTTATGAAGAAAATTTGTTTAAGTTTTGTTTTGATTTTTTGTTTTTTTTTCTATTTATTAAAACCTTGCTCACTAAAAATAATGTCTTCGATGTTCGTAATATGTTGCGACTTAGAAGAACGAAATAGAAACACTGTATGATCTTTGGAAACATAATCGAAGTACGCAATAGCGCATGCTCCGAGAAAAAAAACTAACATAAGAAAAGGGTAAGGAAGATTGCAGCAGAGTAGGGTTCAGATTAAATAAGAAATGAGTAAGGAAATGTTTCTTGCAAACCTAACTGCTCATCTTGTATAGTATTATGAAAATGTATAGATAGTTCGATAAAATGACGATGAATGATAGTGTTCAATCAGCACTGAGAGAGACCATTAACCAAAAATGGGAAAAAAAACGTGGAACGATGATGTTGCGTACGCAATGACCTTTTACAAATTCTTAACGTTACCCACAGGTGTTTGGCCACTTCAGAATTACAATTTTTTCTCCATAGTACGTTCAGTCGTAACAATCAGTTGTCAGGTAAAAATTATTATATTTTCATCTTTTTTATTATTATTATTATTGTAAAAATAACATTGCAAAATTACTTTCTTTCTACTATACAGGTATTCATGTTAGTATTTCAATGTAAAGAACTTTTAGATGGGTGCAACGACAGTCATGCCAATTTGGATAGTCTTACAATAATCGCGTGCAATATAATGGCAATCATTAAAATTGCTTGTTATCGATATTATTCTCGATACTTAATCGATAATTACAAAAGTGCGATAAAGGATTATTCGGAAAATAAATCCTTGGAAGATCTTTGTATCATGAAAAAGCACGCGTTTATTGGCAAAAGTTTGTGTTCCAGTTTAATATGTTTCTCATACTTTTCAACCTCGATCTTCATGATCGCACCTTTCTTCATGGGTATAGAAGGTACGACCATAAACGGTACCAAGACGAGTCTTCCTAAAACGTTGAGTTATCCGATGCCTTCCGATTGTACTTTGGGAAGTTTCAATGTTTCTATTGGATTATATTGTTTCATTTCTGCGTTGGATATTGTATTGTTGATTAGTACGTGCAATGGCAATCTTGGTAAGGTAATTTTTTTACGATTATTATCTTTAACAAAATTTATTTCAATAAAATTAATTTTATACAAACATTTCACTTTGAAGGTAATGATTGTCTTTTCTTCGGTATTACACTGCATGTTTGCGGACAAGTGGAAATATTGAAGACTCAGTTTACACGATTTACATTTGAAGAAGGGATGAAACAAAAATTCAGTTATTTGTTGTCAAGATACAGCGAATTGTTAATTTTGGCCGAATATCTCGTCAATACTATCAGCATCGTTTTGGTAGCACAATTACTCGTCAGTTGTATACTCATCTGTATCATAGGTATTATCTCCTACGTGTATTAGGGTAATTCTTATTTTATGTATTTTGTAATTTTCTATGAGACTTTTAAACAAAAAATCATATATTCCAGGTTTCCAATGTATTTTGGCTCTGCATTATTCTGATATCTTCATGTTCGCCAAATCGTTGACCGTGTTGAGCACTTTTCTACTACAACTACTCATCTACAGTTACGTTGGAGAATACTTGAGAAATCAAATGGAACAAGTTGGTTATGCCGCTTATGGTAGTGCATGGTACGATTTTCCAATATCTTGGAGAAAGGATTTGATCTTTCTATTAATGAGATCACAACAACTTGTTGAAATTGCAGCAGCTTATTTTTTCCCGGTAAACATGCGAACTTTCATGAGTATCGTCAAAACATCTCTCTCGTATTTGTCAGTACTTCGCGTAATGTTATTACAAACGTAATAATGTGTGATAAACAAGGACAAATAAATATTCGCACCGGTTATTTTTAATATTTTATTGATCTGTAACCATAATTGTTCTTATTGTTTCCTATTATCAAAATATTTCTCGCTATAATGGTGGGTTCTTTCATTTTCTTGTGATTATGATAATCAAGAGAATCGAATACGTTCTATTAGTACAAAGATTTTTACACCGTATTCTATAGTTGACGTATTAGATAACACATAAGCGTGAAATTTTTTTCAACATATGTTACGACACACACTTTCCTTTCTATATTTTTGTATACTTTAGGACAATTGCAATGGGAACGAATCAACGAATTTCTACGACAATAGAAGAACATTCGAAATTTTGTTAAACCACGTTACGTTTCTTCTTATTATTCCTCTTTCTCTCTCTCTCTCTCTCTCTCTCTCTCTCTCTCTCTCTCTCTTTCTCATAGCAACGTTTCTACAACAAGAAATGGTGTCAGTGACAACGTTCCATTTCGGCTGAGGTTAGAAATCGCCGTTTTGATGATAAATTTGTCAGTTATAGCAGCGGTTAGTATCAAATGAAATGTGCCTTAAAATGACCGCTGTTTCGTTTCGGACTCTACACCGAATTCTAGTAAGGTAATTACTCTCGGAATACATTTCTATGGAAATTAAAAAAAAAAATAACTCTACTATGGGATAATAATTAAAGGTAATATGCGTACAAGTTCGTATCGATTAACGTTTCGAGATAAAACGATCATTTGGATTTAACAGATTATTGTCCAGTTCAAAAAACTTGGATAGTAAGAAAAAAGAAGCATGCACGAAAGTAACGAAGAAATTTGAATCATGTCAGTTGGATCCTTGCATGTTGGATCCGTGCAAACCAGAACCGAGTGTGGTTATCATTGGGGCAGGAATGGCAGGATTGTCAGCTGCTCATCGTTTGGCACAATGCGGGTTGCACAATTTTACGATACTGGAGGCAACGGATAGGTAAGATATTGTTTACCTTGTATAAAATTCGAATAATCTTCGGTTATTTACTATAAAAGGTTACTTGCATTTGTATTGGATATTACAAATAGTTAAACTAATTTTTCCGTTGTTTCGTTTATCAGACCTGGCGGAAGAATTCATTCCTGTTGGTTGGGAGATGTCGTTGCCGAATTGGGAGCAACCTGGATTGAAGGTGGATGCCTGACGAATCCTGTTTTTACCTTGGCAGCACAAGAAGGATTACTAAAAGCTCCACTGTCCAGACCCGAGCCAAATCATGGACTCTTCTGTACCAGTGATGGTCGTGCGATTGATTTTCCAATCAGCATCACAGCTTTCCACACTTTCCGACAGATCGAACAACAAGCTGCTGCTCTATTTTCTTTGGGATGCGGTCGTACCCACGGTACGTTGCTGAATTTCATGGGAATCAGAATACAGCAGGAGCTACACAATTTCCCGGAAGAGCAACGGTACAGTTGCGATGTATCCTCGTATATACAAGGTGGGCCATTTTAATAGGAACATCTTGTATGTTTTGAAATCATTTTGAAGATCAAGATTTAGCGTTTACCATCAGTAAAAGCACACAGTTACACATTTCGGTGTTCCTATTTAAATATTCCACTATGTATGGAGATATTTAGGCTAAACATTCACTTTAGGTATCATTCATATAGTCGTATTATGCAACTAATTTAATAACGTATTAAGGAGAAATTATTATTGTTCATATCATGAGAAAAATTCCTCCGTATCATTCTCACATTTTAGATACGATGCTGCCAGGGTAATGTACGGTTTAACAAACTTTATGAGATGTCGTTGCGGTGACGATCTTTCTTTAGTATCGGCCGATCAGTTTGGTAGTTATATAGAAATACCTGGTGGAAATGTAAGAGTACCTCTTGGATATGTCGGTGTTTTAGCACCGTTACTCAGGGATTTACCAAGTTGTTGCCTCAAGTAAGTTTACATTGAAAAAATTGACCAATTTTGAACTTAATTTCTTCTTTCTCTTTATTGTTTTGTGTAGATACTGTAAACCAGTGAGTTCTGTCAGGTGGGGTGCCATAGACGATATCAATCCACGAGCTGTTGTTAAGTGTTGCGATGGTGAAGAACATCCAGCCGATTATGTCATCGTAACTCTACCTCTTGGCGTATTGAAGCATCAACACGACAAAATATTTTGTCCGTCTTTACCGGCCGAAAAAGTCGAGGCTATCTCGAAACTAGGATTTGGTTATGTTAACAAAATATTTCTCGAGTATGCGAGACCTTTTTGGGTTTGGCGGGAAGGGGGAATCAAGTTGGCCTGGTCCGCCAATGAATTAGCTGATAGATGCGATTGGGTTAAAGGTTTCTTCTCTTTTTTCTTTCTTTTTTTTTTTTGCAATTATTTTCCATTTTTTTTTGTTTTTATTATCCTCGAATAAAAATAAAGATTTGTAGGTATCTCCTGCATCGAGGAACTTCCAAGTTCGCAACACGTATTGTGTGCTTGGATTTGTGGTAAAGAAGCTGCAGAAATGGAATTACGTTCGGACGAAGAAATAGTCGAATCTATGACCCGATTACTTCGACAATTTACGGGAGATCCAACTTTACCATATCCAGCTAATATTCTTCGAAGCAAGTGGTGTTCGAACCAATATTTTGCTGGTAGTTATAGTTACATGGGTATGGAAAGTACGGTAGATAATCAGTGTGATTTGGCCACTCCTATACCAGGTGAGTAACGATTATTTTCATATTGATCTTATTTTATCATTGGATAATTAATTATTATTATATTTGATTTTATTTATTTAGGAACATGTGAACCGATTCCACCGATTCTCTTTTTTGCCGGTGAAGCTACCATTCCGGGACATTACAGTACCGTTCATGGTGCAAGACTAAGCGGGATTCGTGAAGCCGAACGAATAATTCAATTGACAAAAAAATACGGTGGTCCACCTCAAAACGATTCGAACAAGTAAAGTAAAATCCAATCGTATCTTTCCCGTTGATGTATTATAGTATGACGGCTGTTCTTTTTAAAAGATTTTTTTACACGTCGAATTAATATAATAAAAGACATTACTTCATTTTCAATTTTGACGCAGGTCTAACTAAATTATTAGGTACAGATTTAAATTGATCACAATATCATTATTTGCAGTTAACACAATCAGCATATATTTCAATCATTATTTGATAACAATGATAAAACAGATTTCATTTAATAGTAATATGGACGTGAACGATCGGTGTTAAAGCGTATTTTGTAAATTTTATTATCCTCCATGTGGTCCCATCGATGAATATAATTCAAATCTTTGCCAAATACGAACGGCAACACTTTAACATGCTGTGTACGGATAAACTAGTGCTGCTAAACAACAATTGCGAGCTAGATGACTTAACAATAAAACTTATTTTTCAAGATCTCGCAAAAAAAAAGAAATTGTTTATTATAGGGTTTCTACGAATTCTAACTTATTTCTACATCTATCATCCTAATCTCTGTGCTACGTTTTAACAAGTGTTGAGATTTCGGCCTTTCGAACGATACCTAACACATAGAATTTACATACGATGTGATTATTTTATAATATATTCAATATATCGAATATTTCGGTGGGCACAAAATAAGCAACCAAATTAAAGGTAGATTATTACAGTTAAGAATATAAAATTATAATACACCTTTTAATAGTTTTCACTTTTGGTAAAAACGTATTTATATGATTACCATATCGCGAAATTAATATATCAAATACAAGTCTAGAAATATACACGAGGAACTAGCACATTATTGTAATTTTTAAATTTATAATGATATGTGAAAACAGTTATGTTTATAAACTGTGTTAAATTATGCGAAAACATAATGAAAAATATTAATAGGAACTGTTAGAAAAAATGTTCAACTTCGTCATTAAATGTAATGTAACTCACGTAACTCAATTCGAGTAACTTATCATCCGTTTAAAAATGATCGAACTATTATATGAATATTCTTAACTAGAAATAATAATAGTCAATATATTAAATGATTAATTAAAGGCTAAGATAATACTTTAAATATTGAAAAAAAAAATCAAATGTGTACAAATATGAGCCTAAGATGAAGTTTTCAATGATATTTTGGATAAAATATTTTCTAAGGAGAACAACACACACATATAATTATTTATATGTCAAGGTGGGTTTTACGAATAATAATTGTAACTATGATTGATTGCAAGTCGCCGGTGCTAACGATCTGCAACCACGAGCTATTTGAGCGCGCCATCACTTGGAAACCGAATTTTCTTCCAATACTTCATCGGCCCTCTGTTTGATCTCCTTCCATGAGTAAAGTATATCGCTGCTTTGACTTATTCGCGAACATATTGCCAAACGAAGGAAAAATACGTCATTTATCTTGGATGGAACCAAATGAATATTTCCAGCACCGTTTATTCTTTTCAGCAATGTCTCGTTTATTTCATTGGATCCCTGCTTTAAATATTCAATGAAAACAATTTACTTTATGATATTTTTTTAATCCTATTATATATTTGGAAGTTTATTTAAAAATAATTATACCTTTAATCTGAAGCAAACCAATCCAAGAACAACTTCAGCAACGATCTCGAAACGAGAATCGGAAAGAACGAGTGCCTCGAATTCGTGAGCCAGAGCAACGTGAGTTCTGATATGTTTTTGCAAATTTTCTATCCCATAAATTCTCAGAACGAACCATAATTTAAGTGAACGGAATCTACGACCGAGAGGAATTTGCCAATGCTGGAAGAATATAAATACGTTTAATTTAAAACTTAAATCTGTTTATATATATAGATAGATAGATAGATAATTATGATTGAAAAAAAAGAATCAACAAAAAAAAAATAAAAATAAAATATATAATATATTTACCCTGTAATCCGGAGCTGATCCTTGCATTTCGTATTTCAGGTACAATGGATCAACGTTAAAGGCGTTAATGACGAATGTTGGATCTTTGAACCACATCGCGGAACAGTCGAAATTAACCAATATCCATTTGTGAGGATTAAAATTAAACGAGTCTGCTGTTTCAATGCCTTTCATTAAATAACGAAATTCTGGACAAATGAAAGCGGAACCTAACGTGGAAAGTATAATTCTTTTATAATAACGTTTTATGAAAATATTCAAGGATAAACAAATTCTTTACAACATTTACCTGCATACGCAGCATCTACGTGTGCCCAGACAGATTCTCGATTAGCTACTGGACCTAATTCGTCTAAACGATCGAAAGCACATGAATTTGTTGTTCCTAAAGTAATGACGACCTGCAAATAAAGAAAAATTCAAGATATCTCAATGATATCCAATTTTAAGAAAAATCAAGAGAAAACATTTTGCCAAAAAATCAACTTACGTAAAATGGAATGAGTCCTTTCTCTCTGTCTTCGCGAATAGCCTCGGCCAATGTATCACCGCGTAATTTACTTTTCGAATCGACCTTCAATAAACGAAATTTAACACCGGCGAAAAGACCAGCTCGTTCGACCGAACTGTGTGCTTGACCTAAATGAATTTAATTAAATATATCATAATTTTGAATCTCATTAATTGGAATTAGTGAGATGAATAGTTTTTTCTTTTTATAAAGGTAACTTTTATAGCAATCGCAATTTAGGGTGATTCGAGATGACTAGAGGTGGTAACGAGAAAATGTGTGTTGGGTTGAAAGTGGTCCAGGGTGAAGGTTCGACTAGAATATCTCGACTAGAGTGGTTATTACAGGTTACCATGGTGATAAAGTGCCGTTTGATGAAGTGTTTCCAACCCATACACACCCTTGTCAAGCTACTTCATCATCCCTTCCACACACACACACACCCACACATACATACATGCATACTCTCTTTCTACCTTTGTGCCAATTGTATTGAGTCATTGTTGTTGAAAGCATAAAAGCATCATAATTTTTTCTCACGATTAATATTCGTGAAAAATGTCAATAGAAATGTCGTGAAAAAAAAAACTTACTGGAACTGTATGCAACCAGTTTCCCAATGATTTCGGTATCGGTCCATTCAGGATGCTGTTCTTTAACTTCCTTAATTTTCTTAGCTTTGGCACCAAGTAAAGCGACTAATGTTGCCTCGCTAGCCGTTCCCTGCATTTCAAAGATAATAGTATTCTCGTAAAGTGATTTTATTCTATTGTGATCCTAATCCTTATTGAAAATTTATTAGAAGATAAAAATATATACTGAACCTGAATAACACCACCTCCTTTGCCACCGCTACAAGCTAAAAATTCTTTCGGTAAATCCAACATTTGTCCCAACCAATCGAGCATTATTACTTCTAATTCCGTACAAGCTGGACTTGCCATCTAAAGAAAATAAAAAAAAAAAATAAAAAACGAAAGGAAGAAAACAGACATTAGAAACTGCTAGAGAAACGAAAGTTATTCTAACTACGATCATCGAACCATTGTGAAACTTACCCAAGTAAATCCAACGCATGCAATAGCTCCGCTAAGCATGTCTGCAACAATAGCTGGATACGATTGAGCGGTGGGGAAATAAGCGTGAAATTTAGGACTTTGCCAATGGGTTACCTGTAAGGTGAAAGGAAACTATAAATGACTAAATTCAATCGGTTTTTTCCATACAATCACACAATGTATGGTGAACAGATAATAATGAAAAGGTTTCATTGAAAAAAATAAACTATAAACATATATAAAAATAAAAGAATAATAATAAAATAAAAATTGTCAGTAAAAAGAAAAATAATATAAATGATATAATAATAATAAGTATAAAAATACTATATATATATATATATATATATATATATATATATATTTGATTTTTAAATAGGTAATAATTTAACGCGAGACGTTAAATATAAATATATATATATTTGATTTTTAAATAGGTAATAATTTAACGCGAGACGTGAGATAACTAAAAAGAAAAAAAAGAAAAAAAATGATTTATTTCACTTACACCTGGCATTATCACTCTTTCCACGTCACTCATAATATCCTCCCATTTTTCTGGAGTTCTAGGTGCTTCCGAGGGTAAAAGCGGTTTCAAGTATCCTGGTTCAATCGTTGGTAAAACCCTCCTAAAAATCATTTATAAAAGTATATAGTATTATGGTTAAGAGTTTGTGATTTCTTTTTTTTTTATCCGACGCGCGTGATCGTCGTAAAGCATTCGATTCTCGATCGCGTTCGAATCGATCAAGTTTTTCAAGGTCTCCTTTCAGATCAGCATTCGATTATAAAACCAGTTAATATTGCATGCATATTTAGTTTTCCACTTTTACAAAGTATTTATTTTATAATTTTACGTATAATGAAGTTACAATGAACGTTCACATTGTTGTAATTTATTGAATTAGTCATCAAGAATACGAACAAGAATATCAAGTTTTTAATTGTTTAGAAATATGTAGAAATAAAAAAAACCAACCAACCTTTCTCTGATATTTTCCATGTAATTCGTGATATAATCTACCATCCCACTGGCAAATTGTTTAAAGTTCTCGGCATCCATGTTTGCTTATTACTGTAAAAAAAAAAAAAAAAACAAACAAACAAATGATATAAAATCGTAATTAAAAGATAAATAGATTTGCGACAAAATGACATTCAATTAAAATTCTTTACATTTTATTTATCCTTAGTGTTTATTAATCTTGCGCAATTCGTACTTCGAATTCTATGAAGAAATAAATGTAAAAGAAAAATTGATTAACAAAAAAAAAAAGAAAATATATATATATATATATATATAAAGTGAAAGTATTAGTTTGATAGGTGTATGTATGCAAGTGTAACTAACGTTTGAATAGATTAATCTCATTGTCAGTAATAAACTATGTCAATGTCGTACATTTAGATAGCCATCGTATTATGCTTGATCTCTTCCTTTTTCTTTTTTTTTCTCTCGCATATCATGAACATATAAGCTGACCATATACGACAAACATAATTGGTGAGTGGCAATGATCTGTCGACTAAAGAAACGTTGTAGGAGGTGGCAACATGTGCGAACAACTATGTCCGATATATATATATATGTGTGTGTGTGTGTGTGTGTGTGTGTGTGTGTGTGTGTGTGTGTGTGTGTGTGTGTATATATATATAT